CCACTGGCGAACCCGGGCCCCTCCCGGCGCCTCGTTTGGGCCCCCCCGACTGGCAGCCTCGATGAGGAAGCGCGCCTCGGTCTCCGGCAACACCAGCTCTCGGCCTCGGGCAGCGTCGAACCGACAGCGTTTCCGACGCGGAAGGCTTGGGCGCCCCCTTCACGAGGGCATGGTAGAGACCTGTGTTCTGCGACCTGTGTGGGTGGTACGGGAAGCCACCCCGAACATCTGGGTGCACGGTGGTCGTCTCAGCTGGTCGACCAAAGGACCGAACACAGGCATCAGCCCATCAGCCTGGACCCGGTCGGTCGGGAGCAAACGAATCCACCCTTGTTTGATATGTCCTCCATTTTTCTCCACTTTGGAATCAACAGAAAACATGGAATTATACCCAGACACACCATCATGAGACTGCCATAGGACTGCCGCACCATTGACCCCCCAAACACGACCACCCCCTGGCCTGATCGGCAGTCCTATGGCAGTCCCATGTGTCGTGTTTGGGTATTTTTCGTTGCCGGGGCTTCTTGTCAAGTATTTTGGAAGATGTGATCCAATCCATCGACATGATAATAACATGGTGCATCATGCATCGACAGCACATATGCATTCCTGGCATCGACAGCAGGTGGTTCAGCGCACTGCTGCCCTTCCGTGACTGATCCCGAAAATGTCTCCGTCTCAAAGTCTCAAACGAAGCAAAGCACCAAAATTCTCCGTCAGCGTCGTCCGTCATGTTTCTTTCCGTTCCTCAATCTCTTTGGGAAGACTTCCCAACTCCACTCCCACTCCAGCTGCTGCCCAAGCGGCAAATCACCGGAGGCCCATCAGAGGGTGAGTATTGTGCGGCGGTTGGGGGCAGCACCGCCTGCCGTGAAAAGCGGAACGCAGGCAGAAGGGTGCAGTGACAGGCTTGCCGCCTCACAGCCTCGTCTTCCTTGAAGCAGGAACGGACGAGGTTTCGCAGAATTGTAACTCGGGGTGTTGTCTGGAAGCTTGGCCACACCGGCACGTGGCATCATGTCGACTGGGGCTACCAAGGAAAAATGGGAGGCTCTCTTTCTGGTGACCCGGATCTCCATCCGTTCAATCTCAGTAGCATGATCCAGACATATCCGGACCATGAAAGAAATCAGCTCAACCCACCCAACTTGGTCCCCCACAAAACAGACCGCATCCCACACTAGTTAGAAAGACCCTCCAACCAGAGGGGGGTTCAATTGATCTATGTCATCCAACCCCAATTCCGATCTGATCCCGACCGTCTGACGCCTTCGTCCTTCGACCGCCTGAAGACCGGCCACCCCGACCCCCCCCCCATGGCGCATCGTTGGTCAGGTCCTGAACTGCGGACACCCGGGGCACCTTGGATTCCACGGAAAGGCGCTGTGAACCTGCGGGATCGCTCCATCGCCGGCGGGCCGGCAGGGTGTGGGAGCTTGGGATCCTTAGACGGTTGAATGGAGGTCAAAGAATGAAACACAACCAGAGTGGCGCAAATACAGCTCAACACATGGTTTTTCATGGTTTTTCTCTGTATTTTGTTCATCAACACTCTACATTACGATGGATTTGCCAAAAGCCAGATCTGTGGGAACGAATCGCGTTTCCCAACCCGTTGCCCAGAAGTTCAGAAGTTGGGCGCTTTCCACCAGCCCAAAAAACCATCCAAGTACTGAATTTCTAGGCAACAGCCCATTTTTCTAGGCTTTTCCAGGCGATGAACCCCTGGATGAACCGTTGCCCACCACCTCCCACCATGCTTTTCTCCGCCACCCACGGCTCCACGCCTGGGGTCCGAAGCTGACGCTGCGAGCCAGCGGCCGAGCGGGAGGGGCCAGCCTCCCGCGAGGCGGTCGGGGCATGGATGGGCACCCAGGTGTGGGTGGTGGGGGAGGTGGCTGATCTCCATTTGGACCAGACCGGTCGAGCAGTTTGGACGCTGCGTCCGGAGACAGACTGGATCCATGTTGGTGAGGCCTCGTGGGTGGGTTCCAGCAACACGTGGAGATCCGGGGTTCACAGCGAAGCTGAAACCAAAATGCTCCCTGAAGTGCTGATTGTGCACGTTCCAATCATGAAAGCGTCAGGTTTCTCCGCAGCTAGTGCAGGGCTTCTAGATTTTTTTAGGTCTTGGCAAGAAAAAAACGGACGGCACACATTACAAGGATAACCCCGAATGCTCAAGATGTCCAGTCTCCTGCACACAGAACATACTAGAACTATCAGGACTTCTTGAAGCTTCACTTATGGGTCCATTCCCGTGGCGCCCATGCTTTCCTCATCACTAAGGTCAGCATGTTTTTCTCTAGCCATGGGTGATCAAAACACCTATCAGGCTGGAGCCCCTCCACTTCCGCCCCCACTGGGCCCCACCTGTCTATAGGTGCCGTCTCCTTCTAAGAGCTTGTGTCCCGAACCCGAACCTTGCACCAACAGCGCACAGACCGCATCAATGGCCCAAGCCGCCGTCCCACCCCACGTGAAACAGGAGTGGAGCCCACCCACCGGTTTAACAGCAGGTAGCTCTTCCACAGATGTCCACAGCCTATTAGCACATATTAGCACCTTCATTGCATTGTGACATTGTCGACGAACCACGTGGTAATGAGATGATATGAGATGTATATAATGCGGTTCTGCGTGGAGCAATGTCACAGCGACAAGGTCAGGATGGGTGAGGGTCGACAATTTCCAGCCCCCAACAAGACACTGGAATGGCAAAAGAATCACTAAACTTCACCAAGAATCACCAAGCATTCAAAAATATTCAACAAAATCGCTACTCATCACCAAACGCCATGGTATTAATTCTGTCAAAGCTAGGAACGCTCCAAGAAAGAGGCAGGGCCGTATGTGTTTCCAACTCCCACTCCCACCCCAGAAAAGCCAAATAACTCAGTTGTAGGGAGATAGACCCACTTCAAATATCTCATGAGTTTCAAGATGTTTAAAGATACTGAGAATCCTCCGAGTACAGTCCAATGTTACACTACAATCTCAGTACAGCAGTTCTGTTAAACCGTGAGTTTTGCAGATGTTTACAGTAAACCGTACAATCTCAGTACATCCTCTGAGAATCCTCTGCCTTAGCCGTCTTTCTCGTTCCGTCCCGTCCCGTCTCGTGTCCTCGGCTCCCCGGCTACTCGTGTCCTCGGGGTTACCGGGGGCATCCGTCGTCGGACGGGCAAAGGCTTCATCTGGAGGCTCTTGGAGCTTTCTCATCCTCCCAAAGTCCAACGTGGCCTCATCTATCTACTGGACAAGGGACCACCAAGTCTTTGAGGGCTCTGAAACGGAGAGCTTTGACTCTCCGTTCGGCGTAGATGGAATTTGGGAGAATCCCACCAAGACCCATCAGGAATTCCTGTAGACCATCTGTTCGGAAGCTGGTCGCAGTCTTTCTACTCCCAGGATGGATTGTAATTAGATTCTAACCAAGCAGGCCCTGCCCATGCGATCGAACCCCTGCCAGCCCCTGCCAGCCCATCCTAAACCTTGCCAGCTTCAATCGCCTCCACAGTCTGCACAGAGGAAGAACCACCACAAACAAGCTGTGTTCAAGTTGGGTGTTCTTCAAGTCTTAAAGTGGCGATTGGCGATTGGGTGGGGTGCTTGATCTGATCTTCCCCCCTTCTCCCCCCTTAAACCTCCCTTCCGCTTCCCCAGACCGCTCGCGGAAGCTTTTTCCCACCGCCGTCCGCACGAACGAACGCGCTTCTGAAGTGGAGGGTCGGAGAGGGAGTACACGATCAGCGGGATCAAAAAGAGCATCACCAGGATGACGACCACCATGACCTGAGGTGAAAGCATCTGCCCGACGGACGGTCGCATGGCTTCGGTGAAACCGAAACCTGTCTGGCTTCGTTGTCCGCGGCATCGTGTGGTCTGGCTTCCTGTGAAGGGTCATGCTGGTATCCTCTTGTTTCGGCTGCTTTGGCCATGTGTAAGAGGGGTGTTCTGCGGCTAGTCCATGATGATGATGATGATGATGATGATGATGATGATGATGACATGGCACCGCTTTTCTGGGGGCCCGAGATCGAAGGTCGCGAAAACGCTTTGGTAAGGGACTAGCAACAACCTTCTAACGTGGAACAGGTTTCAGGACATAGAAAGAGAATGAAAGAGAGGTGACAATACAGTACACTACCCACTGCCAGACGCTCCATGTAATTAGGGAATATTGACCTCTACATTGGGGTGGTTGGGGTCAATGGATGTAAATATGCCATGGAGTGTCTGGGTTATAGTACATTTACATTTCATCACCGGCGTTCTCCGGTTTTGATTCCTCAGCACCACTGGTCCTCGCGTCCTCGCCGTTGCTCCGAGACGCCGTTGGAGACGCCGTTGGACCGAGCCACGCGACGTTCCGAAGCACCACCCACCCGGAACGTCGAAGTCCAAGCTCCTCCGTCGGACCGCGCCGGAGACCGGAGCCCCTCCTCGGCCCACGCGGAGGCCGCCAGGCGGCCAGGCGTCGAGAGCCCGGGACGCGTCGCGGGCGTCGGGCGTCGGGCGTCGTCGCGGCAGGCGACCAGAGCCGGGGCACCATGACACTGCTGGAAGAGCCATTCTGTGCGAGGTGCTCTGCCTGGAAGAGACGAACCCCCCTGAAAAAAGGACGGAGCTTCGGTTTCGGTCCAGCGAAGAAGAGATGGACGGGGGGGGTTGGGACATGGTTGGAACATGGGGTGAGGGGGGCCACATGGTGCGACCGAAAGTGCTACGTGGTGGCAGCACCAAGGTGCTTCCAACTACTCTTGGGATGGATAGGCTGCTCATTTCAGCAGCTCAGCATGTCAGCATATGTCAAATGTGAAGGAAGAGTTGCCCCAGCACGGGGCACTCTTTTTCGATGCGGTCTTGTCTGGATTGCAGCGCAAGATGAGAACTTTGGCCTAAACAAAATGGCTCGGCTCCAAGAAGCACCCAGTGAATGGCTCGGTGAATGGAACGACCTCTCCCATTATGAGCATCTCCAAGCGACGTGAGGGTTTCACCGTCCGGTGGCCGGCATCACTTCCAAGCATCACAACAAGGGGGTACAGGTCAGGTCTGCACTCAGCCTTCTGAGTCGAGCTCAAGGTCCGACTCAGCCCGGAAGTGAACTGTTGTTTGGGAACGTTTGGGGGGTACATCTACCATGTTGTAGAACAGAGCCATGGACAACAGAGTCTACCAGCACCTGGAAAAGGGGTGTCGATCCCTGTACTATTTCGTGTGGCGCTGGAAGAGTCAGGTAGTACCCCGAGGAAGGTGCAGGTGCTGGCATAGTACAAGGTAAAGTCTTTTATTTCCTTTAAGTATTGGCTTTGTATGACCATCTCCAGTACAATGAGGTCTTTGACTTGTAGGGGTCTATAGTACAAAGTTGGATACAAAAATATACTCACCTGACCAGCCATGGATATGTTCCAGGCACCACAATGTCGGAAGTCTGTCCGGTCGCAGAGTCATGAGTCATTGGAGCGCCAATGTGTCGTGAATGTATAAATCAATATGATGCATACCCTGCAATCCAGTCTGACGCAGTAAAACCTGGTCCTTAACATCCTTAATGTAGTGTGTTTGTATGACCATGTCCAGTAATATGAGGTCATTGACCTGTAGGCATATAATATGAATGAACGCAACATGGAAATGCACCGTGATCAAAATAGACACCATAACCCAGAGCCCACCATTGTCATCGTTACTAAAATGGGCGTCCAGAAGAGCAACAGTCTCACTCGCGCCAAGACGAGTACACAAACATTTCAAAGTCCCATCTCCACCCCGTTGTAACCCCTTCAGAAACACCTGCAGGTCAACCCCCTGCAAAGGAAGAATCCATTCTTCCTGAAAAGCCTCCAACCAAAAACACGCAGCGTGATAAAACACATCCAAAGAAAGCCCTCGCGCACAACCCAATTTTTTCATACATATGTTTCCTCTCTGTCCCCTCAGCCAACCCCCGGTCGGTACCCACCTTCAGTTCTAGTAAGGAGGGCACTTGAACAGCTTGTGTGGCGAACCTCGAAGCGTCGACGACCGGCCGCAACGGTGAAACGGCCACCGGAGTGGGCAACCCTGGCCGAGCGACGGAGTGTCCAGATCTACAGACGTTTCTTCTGGGAAGATCCGCCAGCGAAGAAACCATTGGAAAGGAGCTTGGTGGAGGTTGGTGGGGTGGGCCGACTTGCGTCTTTCACACTGATACATTCCCCTGGGCTTCCAAGACCATGAAATGAAAGGTGGACCTGCTTTACTGAGTGAAACAGTCCTAGTAAAACGGTAAAAACTTGTGTAAAGGCCATTGAAATAATGCTAGTTCTGTCTATCCTGCCGCGTCACTATTTCTCATTGATCTGGCCACTGAAGGACACTTTGCTGGGACCCAGCCATGTTCTCACATGAGGGATATCTATCATGTAGACTGCTGTTTCATAGAACCCCCATACCTGGACGGTAAAACATCTCCATTTTGATTGAGGGTGATGAAATTCAACAGTCTACTGAGTCTGCTTCAAATGGACCATGATGTACTCGGATTTGGATGTTTTTTCCATGATAAACCTTCGCTCAAACACACAGATGTGTTCATCACATGCTCCGAACTCCAGAAAAAGCTTTCTAACTCTCACGGGCCCGGTGCTTTGAACATTGAACAGGGAGCCTTCCGCAGAATCCATGGAAATCCATTACATTCTGCTTGTGCCGCGCAAAGAACCTCTCCTCGAGATTTGTCCACTTCCACTTCCACGCTTTCCAGACAAGGTCCTCCTTTGGACTTCGGTTTTGCAGGCGAACTGCGTCACCGGTGGGTGCCTTTTAGGTTTTCTCCGACTCCAGCCAGCCTTCTGAAGCATCGGCTCCCAGAAAACAGTCGAAACGAAGACCAATAGTGTCCACTCATGAGTGAGTGAACTTCACCGAGAAGGCCCCAAACCATCTTCGGAAAGACAAAAAAAAAGACATGGACTCGTTGCGCTACGTTTTCACCGGTCACATGGGGCGGACCCCCCGTGGAGCGAAAACCAGGGTAGCGGTCCTCGTTTCGGTCACGTGTTGGATCGTCAGAAGCTGAGGAAAACCAGGATGAAAAGCTAACATCTTAGGTTGGCTGAAACTTTCAGACACTCTTGGGTTGGCTGAATCATACCACGTGTTCATTCACAGAAAGCCCCCACCCAGCCACCGTCTGGTCGCCTGCTTTGCTCAGTCGTCAGGGCCGTCTGCAGGAAGACTACGTCATTCTCCTGGAGAGAGAGAGAGAGGAGAGAGAGAGAGAGAGCCCATTCAACTGTTGAGCCCAGAAATGCACATGGATGCAAATGGACAAGGATGCTGTGGGAGAAGGGTGTGTGGTATTGTAGCTACAACCCCTGAGACAAGTCCATGCCATGCAGATTGTCGGCAAGATTCGCCGTGTGTCACGGCCGCGAGTCACGGTCTTCTTGAGGCTTCAAAAGAAGCCGAGTGCATCCCTGTGCTTCTCAATTCTCCAAAACCTACCATCGCCTCCCCAGATCAGCTGGGGAGGCGATGGGTCCTGGAGTGAATTCACCTAGACCATCCCTTTTGACCATCTTCTCAATTCTCAATTCACATGGCTCGTGGAGTCCTAGGTGAAAACCCAGCTTTGCCAGCTCCACCTCCACTTCACCTCCCTGCATGGGGAGGCCACAGCCGGAGCACCCGGGGAAGTGTTTTCCTCCTCTTCCTTGACTTCTCGGCAGACCCACCCAGTGGATGATGATGGGGCCTGGTTGCCGGCTTTGTTCCAACATAGTGATGTGCTTGTGAAACCTGACGGCTCTACAGCTTTACTGGGACACCCCATCTGTCATAGATGTTCCTCACTTCCCCCATCTCACCCCCATCTCGCACCAAACATTATACAAGCATTCACAGTCATTTACAGGCAAACAGGGACAAACCCGACAAAAACCCAAAGGGATCCAAATTGGGACTACCACTATGATTGGGACTACCCAAGGGATGACCCAGCGGGATGAAAGGGACCCAGCGGGACCCTTTCGGGATCGCCCACACGATTCTCCGAGTCCTGGGAGCAGTCATCCTGACGCATGGACGGACGCCGGACGCATCCGCAACCCGGTTTCTCTCGGACGACTCGGGACGGCTGCCGAACGGGTGTTGCTTCCGCGGCGCGGGTCACCGGGTGGGGCATGAGGAGCTGGCAGAGGAGCTGTGAGAACGAAGTGGTTGATGAATAGATTGAATAGATGGCAAATGATTGCAGCTTTGCAAGTCGCCCATCGAAACTCAAACCAGTGACTGAACGTCCTTACACCAGACACATGTCCGTGCGTGTGCGGGTGTATCTGGTGGGTTCACACCTCCTTGCACAGCACCCGGTCGCCCGAAACGGATTCTCCAGCTCGCCCACGGGCCCATCCAGACACACAGAGAAGTGCCCTATTTATTAGAGAAACCGAGATTTCCCAACATGTGGCTGCAACCCATTTCTTGGGAAATCATGGGGGGATCATTCTCTGAATGGTCCAACCCATATTCTCGGACACCCGAAACCAAAAGAAAGAGGCTTTAGTTCCAGGTGAAAAAAAAAAACACCATCACCATCGCTTGGAGTGCCCCTTCTGTCCTTCGGGTCACCTACATCCGCCCGGCCCGCCTCGGCCACCGACGTCACGATGCTTAGCACGGTGACGACCTCGGGAGGGCGGCGGAGACAGGTCCAGCAACCACCCTCAACGAATAGCCTGTTGTTGGAGGGTGCTGGTGGAACCAGAAAGGAACACAAGGGCAAGCTGCTACAGAACTAGAGTGCTCGTAAAACGTTAGTAGAGCAAAGAGCTACGAACGGAAGAAGAAGGCAGCCAGAGAACACAAGAACAAACACACACAACTCCTCTCTCTGCCAGCGCCGGGCCGAAAGCAGGTTTACCATGAGATGACCTCGGCACGCACAAAAAAAACACAAACAGAAACTGAGGAATCACCTGGGGAGCACCCCCTGCAGACCAACATGGGAAAATGACCCCCGTGGTTTGGACCATTGTTCCTCTACCACACCAGTGGGTTTGAGAGTCCATGTGGTCCCCTCAGGAGGGTAGAGTTGGGCCGGTGAAGGCCAACCACATGTTCCGCTTCAGGGGAACTCGGTCCCTTCACGGTGTCTTTGTCTTTTTGTGTCTTAGGCTTCAACTCGACTTGTGGGCTTGTCTCCCCTGGAAGCTTCCCATTTCATGCTCATTGGCTCGTCCCTAATTGAATCCAGTCAGAAAGCCGCTAGATGGTCTGTAGATGTTCCTCACTTGACTCACTCACTCCCCAAAGCACAAAAGATAGCATCCCATGCATCCCCTCCGGCCTACCCGAGGCGCAGGATTCTTTAGTGATGGCGACTAATCAAAAACATCTCGAACACACCAATAGAAAACACCAGTAGTTGTGCCTTTTCCCTCTGCGAAGCCTGGCAGAGTCCGCTCCCAATTCTCTTGTACAGTCTGTCCTGGTTGTGCTGAGCTGTGCTGCGCGCCAAAAACATCACCTCCCGACCTAGTACTTGAAATCAGGTGTCAATTCACCGTGAAATCACCTGAGACTCCCACCGGACCGATCTGCACTCATCCTCCTGGACTCCTTCAACTCCCGACCCCACTTACTGTCAGGCCCCGAACGGTACAGTAAGCAGACGTGGAGAGGGCATTGCTAGGTCCCATGGTAGCCGGCGATGCTGCGGAAAACCAGAGTCAACGACTTGGAAGAATCGTGTCCAGTCAACCAGCAATCGCGGAATGCCGGTGGAACCCACCTGGCCGCACGAAGTCGATTTCCTGAAGTCATGTTCCGCACGGTGACATGCATGTTTCAAATGTCAGTTGGCAAACCGAGGTCTGGTATGATCCTCACAATTCTTCCACTTGGGCATCTTTTGAATCAACTCTGTGCATTTTTGCCGTAGTTCTTCTGCAAAATCACCGCCCACCAAGGCCAATGATGGCTGGAACTCCTTCACAACCATGTCACACGTACCAACCTCTTTCAAGAGCTGCGACATGAAACGTATACCAAAACTGTCCTTCTCCGCCAAGAAAAACATGGTCTTGGTGATAGTACGTACAATTCAAATCAAACAGCCGAATCATCCATGCAATGTCTATATGAGTCTCGTTCGTGATGAGGCGACTGCCTTCTGGAACCCCCAGCAATTCTCAACTCCCGTTCACATGTGG